TTGACACCACTATTGTCAATAATCCGCATAATGTACGATTGTTAGATTTCGGACCAGATACATTTGAATGACCTCAACTCTGGAATAGCTGTACCTACTCCAAAATACGATATTCCGGAGAAATGATCATTTAAAAAAATCATTGTGGTTATATTGATTTAAATACTACGGTTAAATTACTTAATTTCCCCAAAATCTATTATTCTGGATATACCAAAATTAAGATAAATAGTTACAAGAAGAAACCGACTGTTAAAAACAACCAAACAATAAACAATACGTATTTTAAATACGATATTCCGGAGAAAATGATCATTTAAAAAAAATTATTGTGGTTATATTGATTTAAATACTACGGTTAAATTACTCAATTTCCCCAAAATCTATTATTTTGGATATACTAAAATTGAGATAAATAGTTACAAGAAGAAATACTAAAATTGAGATAAATAGTTAGAAGAAACCGACTGTTAAAAACAACCAAACAATAAACAATACGTATTTTAAACATATTAACAAAAAAAAAAAAAAACAATTGATAGAATGATAGCATCCTTATCACTGTGCAACAAAACTAAGAAACCGACTACTAAAAACAATCAAACTATAAACAAAACATATTTTTAATTTAAACATACTAACAAAAAAAAAAAAAATTATAGAATGATAGAATCCTTATCATTGTGCTGTGTGCAACAAAACTAAGAGCAACTTTACCTACCATACCACCAAACTTTAAAACAGTCAATGATGTACATATGAGAGTAAATCTGAATACTTTACCGATTATCAAGTGAGATTAAAGTATAAATCCCAAATAAGCTTTTTAAAAACGTTAGATGGAAATTGAAATTTGGACTCTATACAATAAATCCTAATTCTATTAATTTACTGTTGTTCCAAACTACTACTTACCAAATCAGTGATCTTATAAAATTTAGAAGCAATAAACAGTTAGAAAATCTACCTTAATAAATGAAAATGATTTTATCACATGTCATTCTCTCATAAAATTAGTCACATGTAATTTTATCATAATTTTGAGATATATATTTATTTTCCACTTATCATTGCTTCAATTTTCATTTTCAATCTATTATTAATTTACTTTCCATAAATTAAATCTACCATAATGACTATTAATTTTAAATTTTAAATTTTAAATTCAATTTCAAATAAATTTACAGTTTAAACCTTTATGTTTAACATTTTGTTATAATTAACTCGGTTAATACACTAAACATATAATTTTAATTAATTTATTTTTTGCATGTTTTTTTACATAATTTTCACTTATTTCAATTTCAAATTCAAATAAAATTTCTATTTAATCGTTTGTACTTAACATTTTGTTTTAATTAACCCGTATAATATACGGATCTTACAACTAGTAAACGAATAAACCATTGATCTTTTTAAGGGCTTTAAATTGAAATTATAAAAAAAATACTACTCTCTAGTATCTAGTAGGTAAAAATAATGAACCGTGGACTTTTCAATAAAGGGCTTCAAAAATTAAACACAAACACCTCTATTTCAGAATTCAGAAAACCTTATTAGCTTAATCACTGCACAAACAAGAAAGTGACTCATGGATCGTTTTTTTGTTTGTTATTCATATGCTAAATCAGAAAATAATCAATAAAAGTTTAGAATTCATATGCTTTTACTTGAATAAAAAACCACTCAAATCAAAAAATCGACAAAAAAGGGGGGGGGGGGGGGGGGGGGGGGGGCTGCTCATATTTCCAATCGACCCTTGTACTCACTTCTCAGACCAGCTGCTGCCCTCTTAAACCTTAATCCAACTTAATTAATTTTGGGCCTAATAATATGTACACCAATAACAGTTTGTATAAAACTTGATGCCTTATTCTTCATTGGTATATTGGGCCTTGGCCCAGGTTGACTGTCTTTAGGCTCAATTTATTATGTTTTGATATAGATAATCTAATTCATACATATATTTTTAAAACTCCATTTCTCATTACAAAAAGCTAATGAATGCTTTTACAAATAAAGCATAAGATGTTTTAAATCAGCAATCTCAAACACACCCTTAATGGTCTTGTTTGTAATGAAAAATGGAGATCTATATAATTATGAATGCTGAAGTTTAAGATAGATGACTCGAGGTTTGAGAAAGTGACCAACACCCCTCTTAGAATGTAATCTAGTTATATTGAATAGCTTATTGGATCACTATTAAAGTCCAATAGATAACCAAATCGATCCGATCCAATGTTTATTTAGTTGGATATTCAATTTTACCCAAATACCATCTAATACTATTATCAAATTAATATTAGATAAATTTACAAATATAACTAATTCTCTTAATGATTTTGCATGTTTGAATTGTGGTCGTTGAGGTTGAAGACTTGGGTCGGTTCGGTTTAGTTGCATATAAAGAGTTGGATTTGATCGGTTGATAAAATCAACATCTAATATATAATTGGATTGATTCAGTTCTATCAAAGTCCATTAATCCATTAGATTCCGATGAACACCCCTACTTATAACTTCTAATTATTGCCTGTTTTTCGTTCACATCAATATTTTAATACTTATTAACATTGATGAGACGTTTTTTTAAATATTTGTTTATTAGAACTTTAATTAATTTTATAAATGTTGAAAACTATACCAATAAAATTTAAATAATACGTTTCTGGCCTTTTAAATTTTATGATATATGTATATTATTTTCTTATTAGCCCTTTTATTTTTATTTTAGTGTCATATGAATATTTTTTTAGATATTAATGGTATATGATATTTTCATCTGGTAAAATGCATGTTTTATCATTGTATGAACTTTTTTTTTTTTTTTTTTTTTTTTTTTCATTTTGTATTTTAGTATAAAGAAAAAATCTTGCTCTCTCATAGTTAACTGTTATCACATTTTAATGCTTATTTTTTTTAAAAAAATATACACCGTTATTAAATTTATTTTAAAAATAGTAACGAGATTTTTTAAATATTATATATAGAAAAAAAATAACAAAAAATATAAAAAATATTATTGAAATTTATTAAATTATCATGTTAAAATATAACTTTGGATGGGTGTTCGTTTTAACTGATTAAAAGCAACCTGCGTTAAATTTTATTCGAATCGACAGCCATGAACATTGACGATAAAATTAATTGTACGATTTACGTATAATAAAATTTTACAAAATATTGAGAGAAAAGAAAAGAGGCGGAGAAGTAGAAAGAACAATAATCTTCATATTTCATCACTTTCAAATTAACAAATTGAAACTAACAAATCAAAATAGACCAATAGAAACATTGAACTCTTGGAGACATAACAATCATATAAACATTGATTGTGTGGACCCCCTTAGTCAAGATTGTTATGTTGTGTAATGACTTGGTATTTATTATTTGGACAATTCGAATTGTTGGTGAGGCAGTGATTCGGGATTTCGATTCTTCAGCTCAGATCAACATTTCGAGGTGAGTTATCCTCACTATACTCAAGGGTCTAAGGCACCAACGCCGACCCTTTGATTTGATATTTGGGATTATCACTGGTATGATATGTTAGTTTGCTATCCTGGTAGATAGGATGATTATATACTTTTATGATTTGTTAGATCGGTATCCTGGTAGATAGGATGATATATATGCTGTTATGATCCGTCATATCAGTATCCTGGTATATGGGATGTTATATGTTGTTATGATCCGTTAGATCAGTATCCTGGTAGATAGGATATTGTATGTTGTTATGATCCGTTAGATCAGTATCCTGGTAGATAGGATGTTGTTATGCTGTTGCGATCTGTTAGATTGGTTTGTCCGTCTATAGACTGTTATGTAGTTACCTGTTATATGTGCACATGATTGATTGATAGTTGAGGGTATTCCACCCCGAGGATGATAGGACCTTAGTATGTTGTCTTCTAGACTGTTATATGATTATCTGATATAGGTGCACATGTTTGATTGGTTATGTTGGCATTCCAACCCGATGGTTGACTGGACCCATAGTGTGTTGGCATTCCAACCCGATGGTTGAGGGCCTGGGGTATTCCATCCCGATGGATGATTGGACCCATACTATCAGTATATTATATATATATATATATATATATATATATATATATATATATATATATATATATATATATATATATATATATATATATATATAGTATGTTGGCATTCCAACCCGATGGTTGAGGGCCTGGAGTATTCCATCCCGATGGATGATTGGACTCGTAGTATGTTGTTTCTCATTCTATGTGTATTGTTGTGTATATGGGTATTTTGGGGTAACTCACTAAGCTTTCAGGCTTACAGTTTCAGTTTATTGTTTCAGGTTCAACGGATGGCCGCGGGAAAGGTGAAGGCGCGACCATACACTTCCTCGATTGGCGATTATAATCTCTGGGAACTCTGATGTTTAAACTATTTTAAAAACAAATTGTAATGACTTAATGGTTTTAAACGATTTAAAAATTTTAAATTGGCTCGAATTTTATGGATGTTACACTTCTTAATATTTTGGACTGGTCCATGGTCTCGAGTTTCTCGTTTACTGAAGCTAGTCCATCAGATTCGTCTATCTCTAGGCGAATGCCATTCTCGTGAATGTTTCGACAAGTTTTTGATAATCTCCTTGCAAGCGGCCAAATTTCTTTTCATTATCAGACCTTGTGAATTAATAAGTTGCCTTGTGTACACGTTTACACCATTATAGAATGTTTGAATTTCTTTATACAAATTTAAATCATGTTGTGGATAGTTGAGCAACATGGTCTTGTAACGGTCCCAAAATTCAAATAATGTCTCTCTTTTTATTTAAGCAAAGCTCATAATTTTGGCTTTCATCTTGGCAATACGGGAAGTTGGGTTGAATTGTTGTAAAACAAATTCACCTTTAGTTCATCCCATGTTGTAATTGACTGGACCACTAAATATTTGACCCAACTTTTTGTAGCATCATTCAAAGTTATTGGTAGAACTCGTAATATAAATACATCTCTTTATACTTCCGGAATGTTAAAGTAGTCCGCAATCTCTATGACTTCATCACTATGTTTATTTGCATGTTCATGATCCTTTCCAAAGAATGACGTCTCTTTGAGCATATTTAAAAATTGTCCTTTTAATTTGAAATTGGTTGTTGGTGGGATAACAAGTCGAACCAATCTTGAAACGGTACCTTCACATGTCCTAATGGCATACTTTTCCAAAGTTAGTGCATCTGTAATATCTTCCTGATATTCTCCTTCGATTCTTTGCTTTGATTTTGGTTGACTTTTCTCCAAAAGATAACTGTTTACGTGCTTAACTTCTTTTTCGGCCTCTTTTTGTCCTTTGTCCAACTCACATTCTAGCTCTTCGAATGGGGAAGCAAGACTAGAACTAAATCATTTGGTCACTAAATGTTACTAATAGTACAAAAACAAACTAAAACAAGCGTAAAATTGAACAAAAGCTAATTATAAACATAATATGGAATTAGCGATATTTACCGCGCGATAATGAGGTTTTTACGTAGTGAAAGTTGCAAATTTAGACAAAACTGTCATATAGCAGTTTCGTAAGCATCAATTAACTTCCATAAAACCTGGTCTACATGTAGGATAATAAAAAACCGGGTTTGCGACACAATTAACTTCCATAAAACTACCTTGATCCTAGAAAGGGGCTCTACCCCTTGGACCCCGCCAGGGGTTGCCACCTGTGCACCCTGCTGTCCTTGGACACCCACGGTTCAGGGGTTTCACCCCTCAATAACAATGTAGTTTAAATATGAATAAATAAAACAAATATACATTCCGCACCACCCTTACTTGTTCAATGTTTATCAAGGTTACATCGGTCAATATGTTCATTCCAGTACAGTTAAATAATATTGGTGATACAAATCAACAACAACATTCATTGGTCTTTGTGCACAACTTTGATGGAACTATGTCCACCGACATCAAAAGTTTAAGACCAAGTTCAACTGAACGTTATATACAAGTATTTGAGTTTCAAGTGGTAGATGAGGAAGAGATTTCGATCCTAACTGATACTATGTATTCAATAGCTTAATCTCATTTTAGCCTCGTAAATAAGGTAAAATAATTGATTGAGGGTGCCAAGAAAAAAAAAACAGTGGTTGTATAGGAAATAACAACCAATAAAAAAAAAACCCTCACATCACAACAAAGCCCAAGTTGCAAATTGCATTTTTTACAATGATCGCTATTGACAATGTTAGACGCTAAAAGCCATAACTATGTGTTAATTGGGTTACAATGATTGGAAGTAGTAAAGGCCTCATGTAGTAGTTTGATGACCTTGTTCTTTTGTTGGGAATCTAGTACTGAATAAGGATTATTATGTGTTGTTTTCTAGGTTTTCTTTTGAACTTACTAGTTTGAACATGAATAATGATATGCTTATGTTATGGTCTTTTATGTTACTAATGGTTAATGTCTTTTATGTTATTTGTAATTGGTTATGGATCTTTGGAATATTTGTATATTTGACATGTCATTAACGATGGTTACTCCCTGGTATCGACCTCCGTTTTGGTGTGGCATTGTATGAGAATTCTGATTCTATGATAAAACTATTCATAATGGTCTAAATAAGTACCAAGGAAATCATATTTGGGTATGAAATGCCATCAAGGGTTCATGTGATATGGTGAAGTTTAATCAAGAATTGATGTTATATGAATGATGTACAATCAAGAGTGAAAAATGGTTATAATATATGCAGTTCTTTTAGGCCGATAATATAATATATTAATACCAATTACTTATTTTATCATTGAGGTTCAAACTATAACATAAACAAGGAATGTAGAATACAGAGCAAAATAGAGATGTTTGAAGTGATTGAAATGCTCATACAATGGTTAAGGTAGGAGCTCATATGTATGAGGAAAATTGGTATAGTGTTAGGATCTAAACAACTGTCATTTATGTAATTTATCTTTGGGATACATTAGCATATTTTTTATGAAACAAATGACTAATAGTGTTTTATTGGTAAAAACGTTGATCTTTATATAATTTATTTATTTTTATACAATAACTACAATTATTTATCTATTTACCACACTACTTTATTACATAGAAAATATAAACTTTTTACTGGATAATGTTGTAAAAAAATTGTAAATTATATGCATTTTATTTTATAAGGGTATTTTTTCATTGTCAATTATTAAAATACAAACCATTAATTCGTCTCTTCTAATCTATCAAACAACATGGATGGATTAATGAATTATTTCATTCCAAGATAGTGATTTATGGTAATTATAATAACTTGGAAGGAAGATTGAAGGACATAATGCAAGATGAAATTGCAAGAGTTGAAGCATGCACATATAAAAGATCATAAAACGCATAAACATAGACTCCATTAACAAGTTAAAATCACTGGAGATTCGTTTATAGCATACCTCAAGATACGAATTCAAGATTTGCATGATGACAGAGTGATCCCTCCACAAAAACTCGCGACTATCATGTACAAGAACATAAATGCCAAGAATGTCAGCAAAGCCCTGTCACGAATCATCATACTTGTCTAAGCAAGATTATCATTTTCATTAATTAAGATGACGAGTTAGCCTTATGCAAAATGTATAACAATAATCACAAAAAACAAGTTTTGTAAATATATGGGCATCAGATTACTTACAGAAGTTTAACATTTTTCATCCAAAGAGCTCTATGAAGTCTCTGCGATTGTTTCTTGAACTGGAAAGCACTATCTTGCATTGTAGCAGTTTTGTCAACAAGAAGTTCAAGCCGATTACCTCTTTCTAATATCTTTTCAATACTATTCACCATAATGGTGTGCACCTGTACATATATACATATGAACATGGTATATATAATTCAAATGTCTAAACAAATAAGAGCAAAGAATCCTTCGTGTGGTATTAACCAATGAAAGTAAAACCAGTTCATATATATAATACTTGCCTCACCAACTTCATTCTTAACACGGTTGAGTGTAACTGCACTGTGATTACTCGAAAAAAACTCCATTTGCTGATGCAAGACCCTTGAAAATTCATCATTCATAGCATAAGCAGGAGCATGTGATGCCACTTTACCATAATTTTTCATGAACCTCATCTCAATGTCTTCCAAGTATGAAAACGGGATTCTTCCTGGATGAAATCACATATCAATACATATACAATTTCAACTGAATTAAAAAAAAATCAAGTTATAACTCATAAGTAGCCAGCCATTCATGGTGACTTTTGTACTAGATGAATCAACAACTAAGAATTTAGTAAGTAATAGAACATGCAAAGAGGAAGAGGAGGGAGACTGACGTTCGAGTGTGTCATTGGCCATACAAAGAAAGGTGAGAGAGTCGGATCGGAGTATATGGAAGATGTAATGATCTTGGGAGAAGCAAAGCCTGGACTCGGCCTCCGCCGGCAACTTCTCCAGAATCCGGCGGACAATGGCTCCGGTGTTACCCGTCACAGCGCTGAACTCCGACAACACCGTCATGCCCCTGGCAACCGGAGCGTACAGAATCGCCATTGATTTTTGCAACTTTCACGATTTTTCCCTCAAATTACACGTTTACGCCTACTGTACAAGAAAATATTACCTACTTCGTGTTCTCAATGATCAGGCAAGGAGAGATAGGGTATTTGCAGCACCGTAAATGTGTTGTTTGTTCGTGGATTTGGCCGCATGTTACCTACGATAGGCATCGTTTATTCGTGTACCGATTACATAACATAAGAAATAGTACATAACAAATTTAATCACCGATAATCCTTGGTTAATGTAGGGCTAAGGGTGGTGTGAGTCTAATGAGGGGCAGCAAATCGACTCGAGTTGAAATAGTTTGATTACCTCTTTAATTATCGAGTCGTACCATATATATATATATATATATATATATATATATATATATATATATATATATATATATATATATATATATATATATATATATATATTGAAAGTGTAAAAGTTGGAGATGTAGGAATGAAAAATAAAAAATAAGTAGTAGTTTGGAAGATCAAGAATATATATATATATATATATATATATATATATATATATATATATATATATATATATATATACACACACACACACACAAATGGGATGTTCAAGGGTAGTGCTGAAAGCACGACCCACGGATACATTTAGAGAAGATACAGTAGCTATAAAAATATGATGTTACAGTAAGCAAATCAGTGGTGAATTAAAACAACATTCATTTGAAAGTAAATTGCTATTATATTTTCCAAAGTACAACTGCTTAATACAAAAAAGGGTGTTGTAGCTAATCTTTTTTTCTCAAAAATATAAAAGGCTAAGTATCTATGAAAAAAAAATTAAAAAGCAAGAGATAATGGATAGTAACCTTCACTTGGATAGAACATGGTGATCTTGTAGATTTATTGTAGGCAAGGTATTTATTGAATCTTGATGATTGTAAGCATATGAAGTGGCATGAAGAACTAACTGATTTGTACCACTTGAGCATGAATGTCCATGGGTTACTGAACTTGCTGGTTCATAATGACAACATTATTTAAAAAAAATTCAGGGTCTGGTTTATTTTATTTTATGAATAGCTTGATTAATAGCTTCTTGAAGACATACAACTCTTAGTTGATCAAACTATGATGTCATTAAAATACTTACTCCTGGATAAAATGCGACATGTCAATGAAACTATCTTCCGCCGCTTGACCTATATGTTGTGAACTTATTCTGGTAATCTGAAAATTAGAATCATAATGAATACTGTAATTTGGTTCATAAGGTTTTTTTTTTTTTTTTTTTTTTTTTTTTTTTTTTTTTTTAATTATAGTTTTTTAGCTTATTAGTAGACTTCATTATAAAAACATTTCTTTGATTAATCACCGTTAAACCGATGTAGAAATATTCTATTATTATGTAACTGACCACACCATATAAATGGTTTTAATAAAGTAGAAAATGTTTAGTATCCAAAAACATCACCTAACTTTAGGGCAGTATAGGAAAAGGATTTGGTACCTGAAGGCACACCTAAAAATTTGATAATTACCCCATCACTTATAAAATCTTAGAGGATTTGAAAGGAGGGATCTGAGAAAATATCAGATACCTCCAAGAGAACCAACTATACATGAAAAACAAATTCAACATTCCAATACTACATGAAAAACAAATTCAACATTCTAATATTGGCTAAAGAACACAAAATTTGGAAAAACAATGTGAACAAATGAGGTTCATGACACCGAGATTCTCAAATTAAGCTTATTTGAAGTAAATTATAATGTCCTGAACCAACAACAAAATATTTGAAGTCATTGAATCTCCCAAAAGCAATATCACCCCATACACATACAATTTTACCAAAATGGTTATAGATTAAAACAATGTTAACTCACATTCAACATGCCAACAGTGTATAATAAATATGATGAGGCATATATTTTTTGTCATGGATGAGTTACCACTTGTCTTCTGTTTATCTGTTTACACACCTCCATAGTCAGTACCCTTAACAAAATGAAACACAAATCAACAAAGTTAGTCCCAAATCAGGTAATTTGGTCGAGAAGTTTGCATGCACGATTCTAAGAACAAGAATTGTTTTCTTAATAATTAATTTAAAACCTGTGCTCTCCACAGTTGATTAGCATTTCTCTTGTTACTTCTTCAATCTAATTAAAATTACTTGCAATGATCACATCCGGGCAGTGGTAATGAAACTACAGATGGATCAGGAAATCAAAACATATATCAACCAAACAAAGGCATGTCTAAATGAGCAAATATCAAGCATCCTAAAACTTCACAAAAAAAATCTAAACAATGTTAGCTTCTGCTCAAGAACGTTTTACTTAACAATACAATTGTTTTAGTTTCGGTCTTATTTAAAATTGCTTATAGATTTTTACATTACTTATATATACCAAGATCTTCCAAACGATTAATAGCTCATAGTATTTTATTTCCGTCCTATATATGTAAAACATATGCCCCGGTTGGGGTTCTGATCAAATGTTGCCACTATTATGCCTCTTGAACTTCCTTATTGTGAATGCGGGGTGGATTGGATTATCTAGACATCAGAATTTATTATAGAAAAATATTAAGTAAACTACCAATTACATTCAAAAGCTATGGTTAACAAATTATGATAACTTTTTACCCAAAGAACAGTTGTATAGAGAAAAGTTTCACAGAATCAACAAATGAAATATACACGAACATTCAAATTGTAATTACCAAAAGTTAATTTGAAGATAAAAGAAAAGATTACTTGACCTTTAAAGGAATAAGTTCAGATATTATTATTTGAGCAACTCCCAACTTTATTCCGTAGAGAATTAGATGATTCTGAAATCAAAATCCCCTAAAAAACAAATTAACCAGTTAAAGGTTAAGAATTTAAGATACGTGATTTTGAGAAAAATATTAAGTGGGTTTTATAACACCGTAAAAATTTACAACCAATTTAAACTTTTCAAAAACAACTCATATTCATTAAGTTATTACAAAAAAGTTTTCAATTCTTTTATTATCAGAGTATCCCAGAACATCAACATAAAAATGAGGAGCGGTACGATCACGCCTTCGTCTTGCCACGGTCTCCTAAAGTACCTGAAACAATACATTGAAACTGTAAGCCCGAAAGCTTACTGACTTACCCCCAAAATACCAACCACATATCATAAACAGAACAACCATGCATATCGAGTCTACAGTGTGACTGGTCCGCTTGCACCAGTCCTTCAGTCCACCCGGTCCACACTCTCTCCGAGTCTACAGTATGGCTGGTCCGCCCGGACCGGGCCTTCAGTCTGTTTGGTCCACTCTCCAAACCTCGGCATGTCTGGCCTGCTCTCTTGGGGCCTACAGCCTATCCGAACCGCTCGTCGGGCCTTCGGTCTAACCGGTCCGCCTTGGGTATGTTGGCCTACAGCACAAAGCAGGACCCGCCTCAACCCAACCCCAATCCAGCAACCATGTGCACATAAACATGTAATCATATAACAATTTACAACTAATCAACCGATCTAATAGATCACATAACATAGCAACATCCTAACCAGGATACCAACCTAACCGGTCACTAACATAGCATCATCATATATACCAGGATACTGGCCTTAACCAGGTCTCTAACATATACCATCCTAACTACCAGGATGCAGACATTGTTGGATTAGTGTCTAAGTCCATAACTATTTTGGTATGTACTTGACCCGATGGTGCATGGTCCTTTTGGGTTGCCTTCACCAAAGCAACTTGATAGGATGAATTATGGAGAGAAAGGATTAAATATGATTTATTAATATATTATGGGAATAATATATTAAAGGAGAAATCATATTTGTTTAATTAATATTAGTCAATAATTAATTGGTAATTAGTTTTGTGACTAAAAGAGATTAATTAAACTTAAGGGACTGGAATTGTAATTATAAGATAATTGCAATTTGGGCCATGGATTGCCTTGTATTAAGGGATGGACGAATTCTAATGGGAAACCCATAAGGAAATCGTCCATGGGCTTAATAAAAGGAGTCTATGGGTTGCTTAGGGCTTAAACATCCAAATTAGGGTTTCCTTGTTAGATAACCCTAATAGCCCAACAATATAAAGACCCCTTAAGGCTAAAAAAAGGGGCTAAGGTTCTTGTAAGGGTTTACACACGTTTTTGGCAGCCTCCAACCTCTCTCCTCTTCATCCTCTTGCTTATGGTGTTTGTGAGCCATTAGAGGAGTGACACTTGTGACTCTAAGCCTTCCAAAGTCAAATCAAGGAGGAATTGGGATTGTTATTGCTACATAACAATCAAGGTATGATCTTAAACCTAATTATATATTAATATGATTACTTGTATGTTAGAATTAGGGTTTATAGTCTTGGATTTAAAGCATTTACAATAGAGAAACCTAGATCCAAGCATTAGGGTTTGTATGAGCACATAGGATGTCTTATGACCAAAACCCATCAGTGGTATCAGAGCCTAGCTTGGTTTCAATTGTATTGATGCATTGTATAACCGGAAAATCGTTTTTTTTGGGCTTTATGGCTGATGTACTCGGCGAGTAGACCTCAACTCGGCGAGTACAGTGTGGTACTCGGCGAGTTCGAGCATCAGATAATGCTTATCTCGAGATTTCTTGCTGTTTTTGCATATGGATAGTTACCTTATCATGTTAGATCAATATAAATCCGATTTTATGATATATATGACTATATTCTTGATCTAATTAAAGATAATTATCAATTAACAAGATATTGTTTCCTTATAAGATAATTGATTAATTATTTTGAGTAAATTGATAAATTGTTTTGCAAGAAATCATTAAACAAATCAAATATGGATAATTATGTGATTAAATGTTAATTTAAAATTATTTGTTATTTGATCATTGTTGTTATGAAAAGTTTCACATTTTCCCCTTTAGATTTTATAGTTTAAATTTGAACCCAAAAGGTTTTGAAGTTTTGAAATTTAAATAGTTAAAACCCTAATGTTTTGAAATGTTTCAAAACTTGCCCTCAAGTTT